ATTCCAAATGGAGCTCTGACCGGACGAACCCCGTTTTTCTGTTCATCCTGATAATAGGCGTATTTTTATCTCTAGGGAGCGTGGCAATAGAAACAGTTCTGCGTCCGTGCACAGAACTGTAAGATTTGGCGGTAGCGTAGTGATGGTCTATGCTGGCATCTCCATTGATGGGCGCAACGTTTTCCATATCATTCCAAATGGAGCTCTGACCGGTCGCCGATAGTCCCTTACGTTGCAGCAACTGGAGATGTTAATGGGCGACAATTGCAGGCCACATCTTGCTAACTTGGTGGTGAATGATTTCCTTCTGGAGGAAAGAATCATGCGAATGGATTCGCCAGCGTGTTCTTAGGATATGAACCCAATCGAACATGTTTGGGGCATTCTAGGCAGAGTAATTGCTGGACGCTTACCACCCCCACAAACTCTCCAAGATCGGGAAAGAGCTTTTCCGGAAGAAGGAGACAAAATACCCCACCCCCTCATTTATAATCTAATTGACTCGATGCCTCAAAGGTGTTCCACGTTGCTGACCGTCCGAGGAAACCATGCCCCTACTGAAAACGATTTTACTTTAAGGAAACACCTTTTTTTTATTTGTTTTTCTGATATGTACACATTTTGTTTTCTTTCCTTCGGTAACCAAATGCTCAATAAAACGCAATTTTTTCTGCAAAGCAAATATTTTTTATTTTCTACAGCCTACTTAAGTCTGTCGATAATGTATCAATCAATAGTCCTAAAATTCTCCAGGTGCAAGATCAACCCTCAACCTTAATGTTATACACATCATAATTGCCATTGAGCAATTATTTGATTGATGGGATAGCAGCTTATGTGACGTTGCACTAAGTTACGCCTACTTTTTATCATAAATCCAGAACCTGACGATCTTTCGTTCATCACATGGGTCCGTTACCCATTCATCATCTGCTATTGGACGCATGAGATTAAAAAGTTGAAGTTGTAATGCAAATGGTATGTGGGGAGTCAGAACTAAGTTGAATAATGCTAGAGATAATAAATACGTTAGATACAATAAATACATTAGAGATAACAAAATACGTTATTGATAACTGCGTAAAAATAATTATAAGTATGTTATTTGTCATCGCTGGTGAAGAAATGTGCAAGAAGTCTATAGTTTAGCTACATCTGATAAACTTTCAAAGGCAAATAAAGTTTGCACATTGATGCGATTTGTCTTAACTTTTTGTTTCATTTGTAAAAATGCTGATTAAATTTGTCGATATTAAAGTCTTGATGAAGGAAACCATCTCTTGGAAATAATCTAGCACTTGAGCATAAACCTGCGATTTCGAAAAATGATAGTTTACAAATATGAGAATTAATAAACAAAAAAGGTCACATTGCGCATTAAGAAAACTTTAAAAAGTGATGACTAAATATTTCACGAAGCTGTTGGAAATGTTAAAATATTTCATTTCGGTTAAAATTTAAAAAATCTGTTATTCAGTTTTAAAATGAATATTTAACTTACAAATATTTTTGAAAGGCGAAAAATTTATGAAAACATCTTGTTTCCACGATTTTTTTTCTTCTAACAGGCTTTACAGACTATGGCCCCTCTAATGTTAAACTTTAGGGTTGTTACACTTTAACAAATTTGTAATATATATAGGGACCGAGGGTGTGCGGTATTG